ATAGCCTTCTATGAGGAAATTACTAGGTGGATAGATGATGGTAGAGCGGTAGATGTGGTTTATCTTGATTTCAGTAAAGCATTTGACACCGTCTCCCACAGCATCCTTGTGGATAAGTTGATCAGGTATGGGTTTGGTGACCAGGAAGTGAGGTGGATTAGGAACTGGTTGAAAGGAAGGAGTCAGAGAGTTGTAGTCAATGGGGTAGAATCTGGTTGGAGGTGTGTTACTAGTGGAGTCCCACAAGGGTCGGTGCTGGGACCGGTGTTGTTCAACATCTTCATCAACGACCTGGATGAGGGTATAGAATGTACCCTCAGCAAGTTTGCTGATGACACTAAGCTGGGAGGAGTGGCTGACACACCAGAAGGCTGTGCTGCCATTCAGAGAGACTTAGATAGGTTGGAGAGTTGGGCGGGGAGAAACATGATGAAATTCAACAAGGGGAAGTGCAGAGTTTTACATTTGGGGAAGAACAACACCATGTCCCAGTACAGGTTGGGGGCTGAACTGCTGGAGAGTAGTGTAGGTGAAAGAGACCTGGGGGTCCTGGTAGACAGGAGGATGACCATGAGCCAGCAATGTGCCCTTGTGGCCAAGAAGGCCAATGGCATCCTGGGGTGCATTAGAAAGGGTGTGGTTAGTAGGTCAAGAGAGGTTCTCCTCCCCCTCTATTCTGCATTGGTGAGGCCACATCTGGAGTATTGTGTCCAGTTCTGGGCCCCTCAGTTCAAGAAGGACAGGGAACTGCTTGAAAGAGTCCAGCGCAGAGCTACGAAGATGATTAAGGGAGTGGAACATCTCCCTTATGAGGAAAGGCTGAGGGAGCTGGGTCTCTTTAGCTTGGAGAAAAGGAGACTGAGGGGTGACCTCATCAATGTTTACAAATATGTAAGGGGTGAGTGTCAGGGGGACGGAGTTAGGCTTTTCTCGGTGATGACCAGTGATAGGGCAAGGGGTAATGGGTGTAAATTGGAGCATAGGAGGTTCAAGGTGAATATCCGAAAAAATTTTTTTACTGTGAGAGTGACAGAGCCCTGGAACAGACTGCCCAGGGAGGTTGTGGAGTCTCCTTCACTGGAGACATTCAAAACCCACCTGGATGAGTTCCTGTGTGATGTACTCTAGGTGACCCTGCTCTGGCAGGGGGGTTGGACCAGATGATCTCTCGAGGTCCCTTCCAGCCCCTAAGATTCTATGATTCTATGATTCTATGATACTAAAAGACTATGCCTGTTTCCTGAATTTTGATAAAACACATTCTGACTGCTGGTATGAGTTTTCCACTTTTTCAGTCTTGAATTTGCTGGTGTAATCAGCAGTCTTCGGCCAGAGGTGAGGTGCATCTCTATGTCCACTGATCTTTCTTTGAAAGTAATCCTTGGGGGTGACCTGAGAAGCTACATGTTCTAGTGGTGAAGTACAACAGCTGGAGGCAGGGAAGAAACCCACACTTAGGAAAACATACACTTTTCCTCAGATCACTCACGTTCATCTTTAAGGGCCTCTAGTCAAGAAAGGAAGGATCCTTGGAGAAGAACAGGAAAAACAGCTAATTAAGCATGAGGAAAAGGTCTAAGCATTTGTCCCATTTGTCAGTCCTCAAGCATTCATTCAGCTGCCACCATCTCTGGAGATGGATTGATGGATATGCCAAGTCAATCCGAATATGAGCAGACTGAGAAGCTAGAAGGAATTCCTTGTCTCCCTGCAGACCTTGCTGTACAGCACAGAGTTAGTAAATCCCGTCATGACATTTGTCATGGATGCAAAGAAACCAGCTTGCTTTTTCAGCTATACTAATGAGGTATTCATTGCTAGGAGTACATTTGTTGCTATAGTTGCAGAGATGACTAAATAAACATAGCAAAAAATATTTTGGGCAAAGCAATACTATTTATTTAAAAATACCTCTTTCAGCAAAGGGTAACACTTCAAAACAATAGTCTATTCTGACCATACATAATGAAAAATTCTGTTCACAAAGTTGTGATTAATAGGAAGATGTAATGCCTTTTTCATTATCCTAAGGAAGTGTCACAGGAATCACACTCATCAAGTTCACAAAAATAATGGAACAAAAAATGTGTTTTTGAGCCAAGTAAGCGGAACAGTAATTCTCAGTCCAGATCTTATTCTTTGGAGAATATATTTTTATGAATACTACTCTTTTGAGCAGCTACAGATTTGAAATACATAATTATTTCCCTTATATGTTTACCAGTATTCCCTTAGATAAAAGTTGCCCTCAATACCAGCAGTACTACCTAAAACTCCCTACCATTACCACAGGGCATACAAACAATTCTTGGACATTGACAAAACTTTTTACTGAAAACTACCACATTTAAAGGCTCTCTAGAAGTCTTCCATCGCAACAGTAGGATAATGAGCAAGTTTCACTAGGTAACAGGTACTTTAAATCACAACAAGCATTGCTTCAAACTTGTAACCTACGCTGTACAAAAAGAGTTTAAAAACCTACAGTTAATTCAAGCTCAATTTTGAACTCAAAGCATAGAAAGCCTTGGAATCAATTACCATTTTTAAAAAAACACTGTAAAACCAAACAAAAGAAAAACAACAAGGCGGGGGGGGAGGACAAACCACACACCAAACCTAAACATCACTATAAATTAAAACCATATAGACACTCTTATCTCAAACAGGTTCTTAAGGTGGTGGACATTAGGACGAGGATTTGTTGACTGAACTGCATTTGCCACATAATAGCCTCAAATGCAGGTTGCAATGTTCTCTTAAGTTTTACTTGGTACTGCAGACTTACTGATATCTTCCAATACTGCTTTTAAAAAGCCTGATATAAGTAATAAAACCCAAAGAGAGCACCATGCTTCACACTTTCAGATGCACTCCTTTATCAAACTGTGCAAGTCATCACTCTATCTGTTCCAACAGGATATTCATTGCTCATACAAAAGCAGCAAAACTCTAAGGAAAAGAAACCCTCAAGAGAAAAAATGTGCTATATAACTGTAATGCAAACCAGCCACTAACTTTTACTCACTCTGATTAGGGATAGAAGTTAGCTGACAAAAATAGGCCTATTTAAAAAGAAAAATAAAAAATCATCTTTCAAAACATGTAGCTTAATAAAACCCAGGATATTGCTCTTACATGCTTTCTTTTTCCCTAGCAGTTTTATCTAATATATGCACAGAGCAGGTAGCTCATAAATGTTTGAAATTATTTAAATAACAGCAATTTGCTCTGCACTGCCAGTAACTCCACCTCTCCTGCTCTGTGTGCACCTCCAAGTGCTGCACAAAAATGGGAGAAAATTGGCCAGAAAACTGCTTCATTCCATAGTTCACAAGTTAATCAAACCTGCTGACGACAAGAACAAAATGAAGATATACTGTCCAAGCATTAGTGTCAAAAGCAATTTATATCTATTATGAAATGAATTTTAGCCATGTAATTTTTTTTCCTTCACCAACGTATGTGGTGCTTTATTGCTGGGTAATACGACTCTTACCAAGAGTTCATGCTCAGAGCTCTGAGAAAGGCAAAGAAAGACCAGTAAACAGCATCTTTTCATTGCTGACTTTAAAAAGTGCTGCACTCGGAATTGTTGAAATCCAACACACTGGGAAGCACATGGACAATTCAGAAATCTCCTTTAGACAGGAAAACTAAGGCCATTGAGTATAATTTCCTAGGTTTTGGGAAGCAGAGGATCATTTCAATAGTCGTGCTAGCAGTTAAATTTAACTAGCATGGGATCTGTTTACAGATGTCTTTTACCTAGAAATTTTTCTAGGAATGCTTCCAAACATGCTCTTCCTGCCATTTTTAAATGAGGTTAAATAACCTGGAACTTCAGAACACTTAAAAAAAACTATACATTTTTGTAAGAAACCAATATTAAATTCTGTTCCTTTGGTTCTAGTTTCTTTTATGTGTTCTAGACAGCCTTTTTTCCCCCCCTTTAAAAATGTACTTCACATTTACAAAGTTGATCTTTAACAGACAATAAATGTAACAATAATTACAAAGAGGTGACTGAAACATTTATAGTGCTTTATCCACACAAACTTCTCAAAGAACTGTTCATGATTTTAACTTTCTGAAGACTGCTACTCTCTGCCAGGTTTTTTTGCTGTTTTGTTTTTTTTTTTTGAAAGTCCATCTTATGCCTTATTTCTTTATTTACTTTTTGGCCACTCTTGGTTAGCCAGAATACATTACTGCTCCTCTTGGAAGGGGGGGAGATTCTCTACCTGCTATAGGCTCAAAGAAATGACAAAAGCAAATGGAAGCCAACAATTTGATGTTCGTTGCTCTGTGTTGGTGAGACACGGGACTGTTTCTAACAGCAGTGCTAAGAAAAATGGGTAGCTCTAGAAGAACTTACTATCTAGGAGACATTTAATTCACGGAAGAGAACAAAAGTACTTTACAGAATGTTAGGATAAGTCTATACTGAAGAATAGGGTGCACAATGAAAGACAGGAACTCATATATACTTGCAAGTCTTCTGCATTACATCAGAAGACCCAGAGTAGTATTTTAATAAGTAAAATGTAGAGAAAATGGGCTCTTGGTAATCACTGCTGAACAAGTGTGAGTTCAAGTACAACTCACTCTTCTTATACTATAGCCAAATGGGGACTGGAAGTAAAAAGAACATTATATTCTTACCTACAAAGGAGGACAGTGTAAACAACATTGCTTTTGGATATTCCCTTAAGCTCAGAGATGTTTCAGACCTGAAGTTATTAACTTCTATGCAATCATTCAACATTAAAGAACTAGGTTTTGCCGAAGTACAGGTTTTATGTATGCAAAAATAGTAACTCGGACTGAACAGGCAGCCTACAACCACTTGTCAGAGCACTCCAAACTGCCAGTCACTCCCCAGACATTGCTAACACTCGCTTAGCAGAGTAACCTGTGGGAAGCTCAAAAAGGTGAGGGACTCAACAGTCTTTTGCTGTCTTCAAGGCCTCAACATAAACAACTGAAATAAAGTTTACCTTTCTTGATGTGTAGATGTCAAAAAATGGTTTGTTTCGAACACTAAATGGTTCTTGTGTTTTGTCAATAAGACCAGTCTTCATCTTTTCATGACGTGGAAATATAATCTCTTTCTCTATACATGCGAGTCGAACATTAAAATCACACTCTCCAACAGGCTGTCCCTGCCAAATTGCAAAAATCAGTATTAAAACCAAACACTTACCAGATTATTAGAACAGTAAGTTTTCCTTGCACAATATTTACAACCATACAGATACATAAAAACATTATTAAATCACTACGTATTTTTTGCTCAGTGCTTGGTTTTAAATCATCTGTCTCAGGCTGTAAGAGGTTTAATCAAAGTTCATAGAAAGATAAAAACCCATAAGATGTATTCAAGCATATATTAATTAAATACCTAAATACCTTTAAAGCTATGGAAAATAAATTAAATATTCCCTAGTTCTAACTTTGAATATAGCAGCTACATTCTTTTTCTTCATAATACTTTTAATGACAACACAACAACGTGATTCACACAGTCAAGCAAACTGCTTTGAATATTGATGCCTAGAAAGAAGCATTATGTACACTTTTGCTCTCCTGACAGACAAAAGAAAAAAAATATAGCTGCAGTTGCAAAACGTGCCAATAAGCGGTGGCTGCAAAAACCTGCAAGATACATGATGGCTCAGACACCAAAAAGTAGTAAAAGCCCTTCTCTAAGTCTCAGTAATGTACTGTCACATTTCAAGACCTGAAATAAACCAGCAGCTTTACGTTGTCCTTTTTACACTTGGTGCATTGCACCAGAGCAGTATGAGTGTTCAAAATGCACATTTGTCAGATTAATAATTGCTCTTAATGGAGTTTATGCATTTTGAGTGTTAGGTAGTGAGAACATCCTGTGGATATTGCTGAGAGAAAACAAGCGACTGACAACTTAAAAATTCTAAAGTTAGTTTCAATCAGAAATGTCACCATCACCGCAGCAAGCCACAGAACTCACAGAACTGCATTGTTACAAGCACAATACAGCACTGGAAGTTATTTACATGAGACCATCCCTCATTCTGTCACCCATTCACACAAAAAAATAATTTTGAAAAACTGTCCCTTTCATGGTCCACAGCGAATATGCTCACAGAGCCTTGGCTTCAAAACCAGAATCTTTCAAAAGTTGAAAGCAACAAGCACAGGAAACTGGGAAGACATGGGACTCTGATCAGCAATGACAGCAGTACAGATGAGCAGAAGAAACAACAACCAGGTATTTCCTGTACTAAACACAGGTAGAAGGTAAGAGGAAAGAGAACCTAAAAGGAAAAAAGCCCTACTCTAACATGCATCAAAGGGAATCAGAATCGGTCAACCTTAAAGAATGCAAAGGAAATTACGATAAAATGACAGCCTGGTAAGACACACAGAGGTAAGAGATAGAATGAGTAGTATCTGACAGGTATATTAATTAGGAGAAAATCAGAATGTCAATTTCAGACCAATGTGAGTTTAATGAAGTTCTTTCCAAACTCATTCTGGCTTTTATCAGAATCTTCTGCATTTCGTGCTCCCAAAGGGGCACTAAGTTTCTCTTATATTTTTTTCCTAAGATTATATCCTTACTAGATCTCTATACAAAGTCCTCAATTGTTCCACTACAACAGCTATAAGAACTATGCATGGCACTTCCATGCCATGGGTAATTCACAACCAGTTTCTTACAGGGTTTGGTTTCAATCTATAGGAGGAGAGGCAGCACATGGAGCCAACCATCACTTGTGGGGGAAGCACATTCTGCACAAAGCCAGTGATTACATGGGTGAAATGTCTCCTTATCTCTGGTAACTGATCATGCTACTGAAGAAGAAAGCCTATTTGGCTGTGAACGTTGCCTTCATTGTTGCTTTCCCTTCATATAAGGTGTTACTAGTACAGAGTCATTCAAATGAATGGAAAACAAGGAGCAGGAGAGTGGCTCACTCTTCAGTCCTTCACTGCAGAACACAATCTACAGATTTTTAAGTGTCCTAGACAAAATTCTGAACAACTGCTCTTCTTTTCTTACCCCATGTACAGATCACTTGAGAACTTATCTATACAGTGATTGAGTTTGCCTTGGTTTGTATATCTAACTAAAACATAGAAAACACATCTTGACCTCTGTAACAACTCACTGAAAAACTGATTGAATTCTTTCCTGGGAAATGTGCATACTTTTTTTTATTATTATTACAAAGAAGATCATAAACTGTTTCCTAGGTAAGTTTCAGCAAGATCTAGTACACATGCTCTTCCCTAGAGTATCCACTCAGCCACATTTTCTAAGTAGATCTGAAAAAGCAAATGAGCTAATTAATGTTCCAAACAGTTGAGCTTCCAATAAGCAGTAAAGCTATTTAGACAGCTTCTTTAGAATGATGCATTCAAAACTGCTTTAGCATAGTGACTTAAATTTATTTCAGTCCCTTCATAGTTAAATTAAAAGCTGAGACGACTTCATATGCACCATAAACCAGCTGAATCACTTTTCCTTTCAATAATCCTTTCACTTCTACCATTTACTTGGAAGTAATTATTTCTGCAGCTCTGCCAATCATGTATTTTTATCCAAAGCTTGTTAAGCAGAAGGGTGTATTACCACTAGGTTCCATCATACAAAGGTCAGAGCTAGGCTGATCATATGAGATGGGAAAACACAGATAATGGTTCTGAGCAACTTCCTCATCAGCCAAATTAACGAAGAATGTAAGGACTGTTTCATTCTCTCAAAAGCACAGGACATTAGCAACAAGAAAATTAACACAACGCTGAATTTAAATCAAGGACATATCAAGTAAAAGCAGTACTGGAGAAGGGCTTTTTCTTTATTATTAGGCATTTTCCATAATTACAAAAAATGTTACTAAAATAGAATCTATTTATCCCAGACAGATCCAAAACCTTCAAGTGGTAAAATCCCAGCTTTTAGCAAACAAGTAGGAGGGTAACGTAGGCTGCACTAAATAATTTGCAGACCTTGACAAAAATAGGGAGAGATTATTTAGTATATAAATCCCACATGTAAAAGTTGTCCAAAACCAAGACATTGATGAATGTGTAATTTAAACCCAGGCATCAAATCCTAGCATGCTTCGAGGCAATATAGACGTTTTATGAATTTAAACATTCAGATGTTTGAGATTTTACTTCAGTATCTAAGGTTCTACTTGTCTGAGACGGATGTGGGTCACCACTGCCTAACTGTATATTTACTGGAGTGCATTACACCATAAATCCTGTTCTAGACATTTTTACCCTAAAATAAGTTTGTTAGCAAAGGGTAAAACAAAATTAACAAGTAGCATGTGCCTCCTGTCTAGGCTAGAGATTTACATGTCTCCCTCACTGAAATTAAAATATATCCTGAAGCAAAATATCATTCAGGCAAGCCTCAGGAGAGGAATCATCTGTTGAATCAAAACCTCTTCCTCGAGCATCTGAATTCTCTTCACCTGTTGAAACTTAGTGCACTGCACTAAGAGGTGACACCATTACGTGGGTTTGCAATAGATGTGATGCTCTAAAATACCATTTTGATTTTAAACACAACCCTCCACACATCCTCAAAATGTGAAATGATATTTCTGCTGAGCTTTGAAATCTACCCAGGATCAAACATGTTTAATACATGTTTAGAAACACTAGCAAATAGGGTCTGCAGCTCATTTGATATCCACTGTATTGAGGGAGTGGGAGAAGACAATTTATTTGCTGAAATTACCTAAAAGAAAACAACAACCAAGCAAGCAAAAATCACTGTCCCAATAACATTCCTCCATATAGGTCCCGAGAGTGAATTTGGTCAAGTGCCAGGCTGTTCTGCTGCAGCTCCTCCCTCCGCCTGGTTCACAGAGACCTCTGTGTTAACACACAACCTCAAGCTGATACAGTTAGAAGGGCTGGTGAGAAACTCAAATCCCAGGCCTTTAAATACAGGAAGATGGCAGGAATCACTGAGATGGGTGTAAAAGGATAACAGAATCTCTGCTATGTACCCTTCCTCAGTCCCCTCTCTCTCCACAAGGCAAAAGGGACACCTGAGGAGAGATCACTGCCCTTGAGGTTCAAGCCTCCATTTCTCTGCTTGTGAGGTTACACTTGTGACTACAGCTCAGTAAATTTGGTGAGACTTACATGCAAAGTCCTTTACCTAGATGGATGCAGTACAAGTAACAAAATGGGGTATGTAGGTGATAAATCATCTTCCTCTTAGAATTTGATACTTACTTGTTTTTTTCCCAGTGCAGCTATAGTAAAAAGAAATAAGCCTGGGCCTGTGTACGCAGCTGATAAATAGCTCGGGCCAGGGTAAACTGGGAATATTTATTCTCTTCCTCTAGGAGATGCAGTTCAAGGCCTACCTGCCAGCAAAGCATGGGCCATTTGTTTCCCCAGAGCAGTAACTTAGACATGAATAATTCAGCACATACATGCATATACGTTCCATGCACATCTTCACTTATTGAGCCGTAGCAGAATATATGTTACAACTGCCTCAGCTTAAATGATTTTGAGAGAAGAATAAGAATAAACTCGGGCTAATATTCTACCCTGTGTTTAACATTATTATTCACAATTCAAGGCACCCACAGCTGTCATCTGCATTTCCAATGAAAGCCTGTAATTAATTCTCCCATCTTCTGAAGACCATACAGTCAAATATTTTGCATTTTATAGTCATGGTTTGACACTTACTTTGTCTATATTTTTTCAATACACATAGCTTTTATATAAAAACAAATCTGAAGGTGCTGTTTCATTCTCCAAATAAGATTACTACTATATTCATTAACCTAAAAGGTTTGGGTTATTTTTCCTTTCTACTTAAGTTTTCTTTTTAAAAACAGGATTGCAAGTAAAGCTTTAGAGAAGGGAAAAAAATGTAGAATTATGGCTCTTCAGTTTTTAATTTCTAGAAGGCAAGTAACCATTATAATCTGGAAATACATTTTAAACTTGTTTTTTTTTAACTCTTGTCAGTCAAAACAGATATGGCAATGGCAAGGAATTTAAGTTTCAAAATGGTTTCTAATCCATATCTTGGCATCAAGGAGGTACAGAGTATGAAACACTATTTCAATTGTAACAATTCAACCACTGTGCTCCAGAAGATAATTACTATGTATATGTTGTCATCTTA